CCTACTGCAAACAGTGCATGTTCCAGGAATAACTGTGATACACATCAGTGTAACAACGCAAAGAGATCCTTGAGTCTTATTATATTTCATTATATGAAAGGGATTCCCTTTACTGGATACCAGGTCGCTCCATGAAGGGAATGCAGGCTATAATTTTTAATACTCATGGCACTTCTATTTCTCTAATTTCATCTAAGGCTTTTTTCCTGGTAGTTCAGGGTGATCTAAGTTGTGTGGTTTTATTTCCCTGCAGTTCACACTGCCCACCCCAGAAAAACTCCTAATCTCAACAAAACCTTCACTTTCTGCAAGTAATTCATGCATAAGCCATTTTTCGACCACCTCTGGGCCAGCAGACAGGTAATGTGCTGTCCAACCATGGGATTTGTGACACTAGGACTCGGCCCTATCGATCCAGCACTCTCTATGACAAGGCTTTGCTCCAAAGTGAATAAAAAGACTAAGCTGAAGCATGCTGGAGTTCCCACTTCCACTGCGTGAGCTGAGCAGTCAGTCATTTTGGACCGATCGCACCAGTGAGGGATGCACGTGTGGAATAGATGCCCACCACACCGTGATTTTAGGACAGAATGTTTTTCCATATATACACAAAAATATTTCTCTATAGACAAAGTGAAGGGATGCACAGCTGTGCCTTGGGAAGGTGGCTGCTGCTGAGCAGGGCTGGTGTTTGGACTGTAGGTCCTGGTCACCCTTGCTGTGAGCAGAGCAGACAGCTCCCAGAACCCAAACTGCCTGCCATGCTCCCTGACGTCTGCTGAGGGGAAAAAAACCACATCCCTGCTGTATTTAGAGACTGGGGGACTTTTTTTCCACAAACAGTGAGTTTGCTGACAAACCGAGTTTCAGAAAAACTAAAATGATTGGATCAATTTGGCAAAACCTGGGGGAAAAGACTCAAAGTGCTGAAATGGCTGATGATTCTGGCATTTTCAAAACTGCCTCATTTCAGGAACGTTTACATTTTGCTTCAAGTTTTCTATTGGAGATGGCATGCAGATCGGTCGTGTGAGGAAATGGGGTGACTCTGCTGAGGACAATGGAAAGCCTTTGCAGATTCTAAGACAAAGTGCTCAGGAAAACATTTTACTTAGGGTTCAGCCTCCCTAAACCCCCTTACTTAGGCTCTTCTAAAAAAAGGGCAAACTATTCTGGAGCTGGCTGGAAACATGCTGTTTTAGGAGGAAACCCCATGGCCCTGACAGGCAGAGAGGAGCACAGCCTTACCGGAGGTGAGTTCTCATAGATGTTTGTGCTATAGGGCAGGTTGATGAAGATGGGGTCCATGTCCTGCACGTCTGTGATGATGATTGCCAGGTTGGCCAGGGTAGACAGTGGCTTGTGTTTATCTTGGTCCTTGAAAAAAACAAGGGGTGGGGAGGGGAGAGAAAGGATTTCTATCAGAACAACACAATTATTCAACAGCATTAAGTCTCTTGCAGATGTAGCTGGCCCAGAATTTCTGAATAGTGGAGGTAATAATCTCTTTTCCAAGCTACCTGCTGGAATTATTGTCCACTGTACCTCCCTCTAAGCTGAAATACAATATGCATTTCATTCCAGCATCAGCCCTTTAAAATATAGCAAACACCAATTTAGTTTTCATCACATTCTGAGTGAAAATGCAGCAATGCTGTTCAACATATACCTCGAAATATAAATTCCCTCCTCCTGCAGACACAGCCTAGGGTCCCTCCACACAGTGAGACCCAGGTGTGGATGCCAGCAGCCTCTTGTACCAGCACATCACAGCAGAGAGCCTCACACCCACCAGTGCTGATACCTCCACACAGCTGGGGCTCCCTCTGCTGGAACACAACCAAAGCCCAGCAGCTCCCTCTTGTTCCCACTGCCCTCCCAAACCCCATGGGCTGAGTTGCAGTTTTATCCTTCTCTGCATTCGCTTCTCTGAACTTTGGCAGAGGGTATGTACACCCACTGCTGCTTCTGGATGCCTTCATAGGATGCCTTGGCTCTCACACAGAAGGCAGATGGAAACCTTGAACTTTTGGATACATCATCCCAGCAGCAACATCCTTTCTCCTGGGCTAATGCAAATCCCTCACCTTATGCAGGCAATGGCAGAATCGAGGTAACCATCCTCCCAAGCAGGACACAAACATGCAGAGATCTTACAATGACTTCCAGTGGCCTTTAAACCACTCAATGCTCTGAGCAGGAGCATCAGTATCCTGAAGTACTGCATCCTGCTCTGGGGCTGCCCAGCACAAGAAGGACATGGAGCTCTTAGAGCAAACCCAGAGGAGATCATGAAGATGATTCAAGGGCTGGAGCACTTCTGCTATGGAGGTAGCCTGGAAGAGCTGAGGTTGTTCAGACTGGAGAAGGGAAGGCTCTGGGGAGACCTTAGAGCCCCTCCCAGAGCTTAAAAGGGCTTCAAGAGAGCTGGAGAAGGACTTGGGACAAGGGCCTGGAATGACAGAACAAGGGGGAATGTCTTCACACTCTGAGAGTGGTGATGCACTGGCACAGGTTGCCCAGAGAAGTTGTGGCTGCCCCATCCCTGGAAGTGCTCAAGGCCAGGCTGGATGGAGCTTGGAGCAACCTGGGCTAGTGGAAAGTGTCCCTGCCCATGGCAGGGAGTGGAATGAGATGAGCTTTAAAAGTCCCTTCCAACCCAAACCATTCTGTGATCATCTCCCTTTCACCCCATCACATCCCATCAGGATGGAACCTCAAGCACCTTCTCAGAGCAAGACCCTTCGCCAGCAGCCAATGCCACAGCATTGGGCACTGCCACCAGTTTCTCCTGGCAGTGCCCCGCTGCCAGCACTTCTCTTGCTCAAGCCTCATCCCATGGGTGCTCAAAAATGACCTCAATGCCCACAGCCCTTTGCTAAGAGGGGCAGGAGCAAAGAGATAGCACACAAAGGGAAAGAAATCAATCTCTCTTTACCCCCTAATCACACACTGTGCTGGAAGGCAACTGTTAGAGGTTGCCATACACTCCTGCAAAGCGGCTTTGAGCAGCAGCAAAGACTGATTGCCAGAAGATTAATGTTAATTCAAACCGTATTCAGCAACACAGCTTGTACATTATCCTCTTAACCTGTGAGCCTCAGCCTTTATGGCCCGGATGGATGTTTATTTCTGCCTCACACTCTGCTGTTAGTGTTATCAGGTTGAAGTCTTTTGTTTCTTCAGATAATGTTCTTTTCACTCCCCTTCACCTCTTTAACTTTTTTTAAGGCATCACAGATAGCAATAAAAAAACAAGCACACTTCCAGTTTCCTCACTGACTGTCTCTCTTGCTGCCTTTTCCTCATTCTCTCTGCCTTTGCTGCCTATATCCCCGGGATGAAATGACTCGTGCCTTGCACCTGTGCTCCCCAGCTCTCCTTGCAGCCACCCTGAACTCACCATCACCCCAGATTCCACTCCAGACCATTCAAACTCTTCATCACACAGGTAAGAGACTGATACCACTGGAATATTAAAAATAAAATGAGGATATTTCAGGAAAAATTCATAAGCTTCTGGGGTGTATTCCACAGCCTGGAACATGCAGGGCTTGGGCTGAAAGGTTGTGGTGTTTGCCTGTGGCCCTGCAGTCCGTGAGTGCCCAGACTCAGTGCTGTGAAGAACGAAGCAACGCTGCGTGTCCTCCTGACATTTGTGTTTCTCCATCATGACAATGATCTTGATTAAATCACATGCTTCAAGAGTTCTAGCCAGCTGCCTGGAGGGGTCAGAGAGGGTTTTTTCCCCCCTCTCCTGAACACAGAGCTGGTCAGATGTATTGTAGGGTTGAATCTCACCTTCCTCTGTTGCATCTGAGATGAAGGAGCTACCACCCAGAGCACCTGCTTGTGTACTGCTCCACATTCTCAAGCTCTCACTACATTTAACACCAAGGAAGAAGTTTCCCATTCATATGGGGCATGAATTTCCCCTGATGGCCACATCTCCCAGGGTCCCCTCCTAGTACAATGGTATCGACTGTAATTAGGACCTTGGTTTCTCCTCTGTTCACCAAAACTTGATGTTGGAACTTAATACAAGTGAATCCACTTGTAATAAACCATGATGTAGAAGGAATGAGTAGAGCGGATTCAGTACGTTGAAGAAATTCTTCCCTGTGAGGGTGCTGAGGCACTGACACAGGTTGCACAGAGCAGCTGTGACTGTCCCATCCCTGGAAGTGTTCCAGGCCAGGTTGGATGGGGCTTGGAGCAACCTGGGCTAGTGGAAGGTGTCCCTGCCCATGGCAAGTGGGGTTGGAATAATGTGATCTTCAAGGTCACTTCCAAGCCAAGCCTTTCAGTGATTCTACGAAAGGTCTGTACACCCTGTCCTGGGTTTCATCACCAAGGGAGCCACTTGTCTTGCTGCAGCAGTCCCTGACACACATGGTGTTGGAGCGGGGTTCAGCTGTGCTCCACAGTGATTTGAAACTACCCAGGCACTGCATTGATATAATGCCTCACTAAGTAGAAAACTCTGGATGTGTCCAGAGGATGGCAATAAAATCAGAAAGGAACAGCTCCTTCCCCACTGCAGCCCACACACAACACCTCCCCCTGCAGCAGCCAGGGCAGGACTCACCGTGGCGTTCACCTGGAGCTGGTAGGCCTGGGTGACCTCGTAGTCCAGCTCCTGGATCACTGTGACGATGCCTCGGCCGCTGTCGATGGCAAAGAATTCGGACGGCGGCTGGAAGGAGTAGAGCACACTGCCCCCCGCGCCCAGGTCCGGGTCCGTGGCGTTCACAATGAAGATAGGAGTGCCCACCGGTGTGTTCTGGGGATAAACAGAAATATCAGTGAAGCTGTGCACCAGCCCGTTTTCCCATCAAATACATCAGCAATTTCCTCTGCCCACAAAAAAATATCTAGAGACCCAACAACTCCAGCGCTGTATTTTCAGGATGTTTATAAGTTACACAGTTGTGTTCTTTATTACAGTATTGCAGGAGCTATAATAGTTGTTACACACTTATAATAATAGTTATACAGCTGTGGTCAAGATGGCACTCTATCATAGACCCTTATTTTCCCAACTTTCAAGAAAAATTACTCTCTTTGCTGAAACTTGTTTTCTGCCCAAAGGCACTTTTATTTTTGAGGCTGATTCCCTCACCGTTTTCACCACAAGACATTAAATAAAAGAGAGCTTCAAAAATAATATAGAAAAAAGCATTAAATGCAACACAGAACTTAACGTAAAAGTCATAGTTTCCACAGCAACTACAACCTGTCCTGATTAACACAGGCCTGAACTGTTACATCGTCATAAATCTGGAACTCATCTACATGCACAAAATATGCAGCTGAGTGCACAAAATCAGCAACGGCAAGTGCAGTTTGGCACTTCTTATTGTTTAACTTCACAGTGGGGAGAACAATTATCCATTTTTGGTGGAACAGCTGCATGTTCCTATGCAAATCTTAAAATGCATATTCTTGTCTCTCTCTGGAGGCAGAAGCACAGACTGGGAGCAAAAAGGCTTTGCCAGAGCCATGGGCTGCAGGTAGGCATGGATCACTCTGACACCCTGGGCACGTCCCTCTGTTTGTGACACGGTCAGAGCCATGTTAAGGGCTGACGAGGAGCTAAATCTTGAGAGGGAAGACAGCAAAGGTCAGAAGAGAGAGACGACAGTGGATAGTTAAGGCCAGTTGGGATAATACGGATTATTTCTGCAAACCTCTCCCCAAGTCGCTGAGTTTTATTGTTAACTTCATTTGTATTAACTTACTCGTCCTCAGCTTACAGAGAAGTATCATGATGTCCTGAGGAGATGGAAAGGAGGCCTGGGGAGAGGCAGAGCTCAGAAAATGAGGCACTGCCTCCAGGAAAATTCTTGGCCAAAGCTGAGCAACAAACTGAGCCATTTTCATGTTTTTAGGGAACCACAGAGCTTGCAGTGAACTTCTCAGCATACCACCTCCGATAGAAAGCATGATAAACCAGAGCTCTGCACTTGGGAGATCTGATTGAACCAGTTTAATACTGGGTGATGGCACCAGCAAAGAACCAAAGCACCTGAATTTCACCTGTTGAGGCTCAGCAGAAATTAGCCGTCAAGGCCAGAGGCAGGATTTGCTGCAAGCTTGGCCAGACAAAATGGGGAACCCAGGTCATATCCTGCAACCCACACTGCTGACTTCAGGCTCTGGACACTTACCCACACACACCCCTCCTGACCCCTTACCCTTGCATCCAGCCACACAGGGATGCTCTGACATCCGGGCTCTGGCAAAACTCCGCTTCCCTTACATCAGTGTCACTTCTGCTGAGGTGTGAGAGGTTGCAGCTCCCACCTAGGGTTTTTCATTTCCTTTCTTTTTTTTCACTCCTCTAAATCAAGCTGCTAAAGAAAGCCTCGCAGGGCATGGCCTGAGGATTATTTTTTAAAGTGCCTTCAAGTTTTTTGGTGATCAGCAGTCATAAAAGCATAAAAGATATAGCTAGAAGGGACCTCAAAAGAGAAACCTGTCCCCATGCTAGACTTAAATCATTCCTATCCTTAAAGCCTTCTAGTGATGGAGACACCACATCCTCCCCAGCCCATTTGTCCTGGAGTTTTCTACCCTTTGCCTTACAACTGCTCATTTTTTGGCATGCTTAACCCAGATCTGCCCTGCTGCTGTGTAAGCCCTTGACTGTGCACCACACACACAGCACCTTAATCCTGGCTTGTGCATTTAAACTGCTCAGGAGCCAAGATTTTGTCAGCTCAGGGGGTGTGTTGGGGTGGAGAAGCCCTTCGTGGTGGGCTGTGGTGGGTATTTGATTTCTGAGCACTCCCAAAACACCTTCTCAAAAAGAACTAGAACATCTCCCCATCTCTCTTTGGGGCTACCTGCTTCCCCCAAGCCATCGCCAGCCTCAAGCAGCCCCAGAGCATCCTGCAGCCCTCCTCATGCTGCTGCCAGGGCACTGCTTCCACCATTGCACTCCACATGCTCCAGCAACCACCTTCTCAAATTCCTTCCCAGGGCCACCAGGGTATCAATGTCATGACAAAGAGCATTACAAATTAACCATTAATACACAGAGAGAGGCAGCACAAGGGTAGATGTGGGGCTGCACCAACGGGTCTGGGGTATATTGTTCCCAGGAATAATAAAATTCATGAGGATAAAGCTGGCCTTGATGAATATGTTTCCTCTGCTTTTTAAGTGCCCCTAGCCACTCCTTTTAACATGCAAATCCGCTCTGGTCACCCGTGATTACGGGGCTGCACTGGGTGTGAAAGAGGAGAGCTTGATTTCCCCCGCATTGTATTCCATACAATAGCCCCAAAGCAGGCTTTGAAGGCAGTTCATCTCCTCGTCCTTCCAAAGGAGAAGCTGCCTGGAGGGACATGGAGGTCACCAGCTTTGGTGCCGTCAGCTCCGGCCCCTGCAGACACTGCCTGAGCTCTGGCTTGGCGATCACCACAAGTTTACCCTTATTTTACACCTTTGCCGACCAGGTCCCTTCATTGACCATGAGAGCAAAAGCCACTGAAGCAGGGTATCAGCTCTGGACAAAGATCTGCCTATGAATCAACCATGGGAATCCACACCAAAGCATCTGAGGAGCTGTGAAGGACTTCAGCACAGGATCTTGTCAGAGGCAGTGGGCACCCACATGTATGAGGGTGCGTGAATGAGCAAAGCACAGCATGGGTGAGTTTAGGAAAGGAGCAGAAGGGCTTCCAGACAATAGTAGGACCATTACAAGAGCTTGAAGCACAACAGCATGGATGCAGAGGGGGGAAATCACCGGTGCTGCCCAAAATGCACAGGTGAGTGGGGATATTTCACTATCAAACACATGCCCTTATTCCTAACAGCATACAGATCACAGGATGCAGACCTGTAAGGAGCGGTCTGAGTAATGCAGCTTTTCTTCCCCAGCTCAAATTCAAGCAAGAAAAAAATCCCCAAAACCAGCAGACATCCCACATCCACAGTCCTTCAGAGAAAGAGACCTCATTCCCAGTGCTCATGCCCAGGCAAGGCACAGTCAGGACTCAGAGGAATTTCAGACCATCTGCCTTAAAACGCAGAAGAAAAGATGTCTTTAAAATCCTCTTGCCATTTTTGGGTCAAACAGGCTCAAGATATTCCCCAGCAGGAAGCTGATGTCTTTATTTCTCAGAAGATGTAGCCCATCATCTAAACAATGAAGCAAAACATCTGGATAAACAGAACTGCCTGGGGCTTGTGTTTGCTAGTACATACTGGGCAGAGGACACATCCCAGGGAGATGCCATTGGACAGCACTGGTCTGTGTTTCTGCACTTTCAGCATCAGGTGCATTTACAGGACTCTTCTGCATATCCCTCATGGCTTTTCTTCACTAACAAAGATTAATTGTGGTTATGCCTAGCTCACTGATAGGCAAAACTAACAAATTCTATCTTTTCCATCAGACCACAACCTACAGGTGCTGGTGGCAAACAGGTGAGTTTCCTACACGAGCTGCCAAATTTTCTCATTTGTTAAAGCTTTCAACTCTCTCCAGCAGCCTGTGACGAAGCCTCACTCACTACAGAAAAAAGAACTGGTGACAAAACTGTGTCATATCATTAAATCTTTGTTACGACGCCAGCAGATGTGAGATAAAAATAAACATGCAGACAGATGCCACCGTGGAGGAGGAGGAGGAGAGCAAATGGGAGTGGGACCTGCTCCCAACCTGTCTCCAGCACCCCATCCCTCATCCCACAGCTCCAGCACCCAGGTCCCCACTGAGCAGCTCCAGGAGTTAAAGGGCTCTGGGGTGCTAGGCTGCCAGGCCATTCATGCCTCCCCTATTTTGCAACAAGCAAGAGAGGTTCAAACTGCTATAAAAAACCTTATAGAAGAAGCTGGGGGTCCAGAAGGAAATTCTGAGTGGTAACAGCATATTACATGTGTCTGCCCAAAGCACCACAAAGACCAAACCAAAACCAGCAATGCACAGGAGTCCAAATCCCTAACCATTAGGAGACTGCTCTGTTTCAGTGGATCCCCAGTAGCAAGGACAGATTTGTATTAAAATAAGGAACAAACAACCCTAAAATCCCTGTTCAAACACGGAAGGATACTACTGCACAAGGAGGAGGCAAAGGACAGACCAAGACCTTATCTCTCTCTCACCTGTGCCACGGTACGAGGCAATACTATCTGAGTGACCACAAACAATTGCAGAGTGGGTCAGCTTGGAAGGGACCACAGTGTGTCATCTGGTCCAACCTCCCTGCTCAAGCAGAGTCATTCCTACAGCACATAGCACAGGATTGTGGCCAGATGGTTCTGGGATATCTCCAGTGAGGGACACTCCACACCCTCTCTGGGCAATCTGATCCAGTGTTCAGTCACTCGCAGTGTAAAGTAGTCCTTCCACATGTTTGGATACAACTACCCACTCATCAGCTTCTGCCTGTTACCTCTTGTCTAATTGCTTGGAACCACAGAGAAGAGCCTGGCTCCATTCTCCTGACACCCTATCAAGAAGTTGTGTTTCCATCCCAGGGCTGACCTGCGTATGGACCAACACCAACAACCACCTTCCCTGGGCTGTCACCTCCCATGTAACCCTGAGCATGAGCAACCAGACACAGATGTGCCCTGCCTTAACCCCACCAGCTGGGACACCAAAGCCTTATACAATACTCTCTGCAAAAGGGTAAGTTAAGGCTGAAGAAAAGGTAACAAAAGAAGAGTCTTTTTTAAAATATTTACACCTCACTCTCTGGCCATACCTGTAGTCTTTAATAACTTATTATGAATCCTGCTAGAAAATGCATTAGTAATAAAATTTTG